CAAATGTTACCTTCCTATTGTATAAAGTTCCATTAATTATTGGTATCTTTTTGTTACTAAGACCAGTGACAACAATCACTTTGATAAAGTTAGTGTCATATTCTAGTTCATTCCTAAATGCATTCATACTATATGATTGAGATAAACTATTCTTTTTGACATATATTATATCAAGAACACCGTCCATGTAAAAGTCGTAAAATGTAGCCATAACAACATTTTTTCCAAATGAATCAAATTTATCCCATTGCACTTCAAAAGTCCTTGAAAAATTGCAACCTTCTAAATTGCAAGGAATGTTATGAAGTAGAAATACAGCTGTATCATTACTGTTAATTGGACTCAGAGTTATCAAAAAATCTGGATATCCATCCATATTGTAGTCACCACTCCTCATTGTTATGGTATCTAAATAAACTTCATTTCTAGGAGGTATAAACCGCCATAAAGTTCCCTTTCCATCATTAAAGTCAACATGAAGATCATGCCATTCTTTATTGTCAAAAATAAAAATTGTGCTGTTGAGGCATTCTATATCATAGCATACAGGTATGACTAAAAAGAATTGGCCAGTCAAAGCCACGTCTGTAAACAAAGCCTGTCCATATATTACAGGCTGTCCAATTAATAATTCAATACTTTTACTGTATTTAAATCCACTTGTTTCCTCATTTAGCCATATTTCAACATCCAGTTTAGTTGTTATTAATAGATCAGCAGCATTATCATCATTAACATCAAGGAATGAATGTGAGTGTGGAAGTTTTATTTCCTGAAGTAAGCCATTATCCATAAGGATTTCTAATGGAGGAGTTCTAGATTTATTAAATAACCAAAATACCCTTTGATTTTGAGCATTAATACCAAAAAGGTCTAAAACCATATCACGATTATAGTCTAATACTAAAGGCTGACCTGTGGTAATAGCTTTAATTGAAAGGGCATCTGAGCAATTTAAATTTGGCGAGCCACCCCATAAAATTCTAACTTCGTGAAAATTTGAAGTAGTAGTATTTTGAATTTGTGTGGTAAAAAGAATGTCCATATATGCATCTCCATCATAGTCACCTGGTACTATGCTTGTAATATCAACACTGTCAAAAGTGCACGCAAATGTTGAAGGACGCAAAAATGGTTCTTTATCATGAGCCAAAAGTACTTCAACGCTGGATCCATTTATAATAAAGGCGTCTGTTAATTCGTCTGAATTAAAATCACCAAATGCAGCAATGAAACCATTATTATTTTGTCCAAATGAACTTGCTGTCATGTCCATCACTGCTGAACAAAACATCACCATGAAACCCAAATGAAAAATTATGAATCTTAACATGTTGTTAATCCTTTCATAGCAAATAAAGCAAAATGTAAATAAAAAAAAAAGTAATGACTTACTGAAGATTTTATTTTATGGCCCGGTATCAGACCTTTTGGCCAAGTGATTGAAGAATGTAGACAATAAAATTACACAAAGTTCAAAGACGCTATTATACACAGTTTTCAATTTCTTATTTTTAATAATATATCTGTCTGTAACAGACACTGTATGTACTGTGAGTTGTCTGATTATTGACTGTTGAGAAGAAACCAGCAAGAAACACAACAGTTGCTTTTTTAAAAAAAAAAGAGTACAATATGACTGAGAAATATTGACAGCTCAATAGACGGATCTTTCAATCCTTGCAGCACGGCATTCGTCAATTTAGTATGAATTATATTAAAGAGACGATTGAGCGGAAAAAAGGCTCCAACGTGTTTGCAAGAAAACATGTCTAATAGGCTAAGCAGTTGACGAAGCATAGGAGAGAGGACGGCAGCAGCCACCACTGGTTGACGCTATACCTATATTGCATCGGAGTTGATTTGTTATGATGCTCAATAGCTCGGCTTAAGACTTAAGGCAAGGTTTTCCGATATTAAACCCTCTTAAAAGACCGCAGTTATATACATTCGCCTATATTAAATTTTCGGTTTTAAAAAAATAATGTATTTAGTTCAGTGCATGGGCAAAAAATATCGATATATAAAAAAATCGATATTTTTCCAAATAAATATCGATATATAGCGTCTATATTTTTATTCCCAATATTTATTATTCGATATTTATTTTTGACTATCGAATTCGTATCAATTTCGATATATTTTTTAACGCAACTTTGGTTTGGTGTGTGTTACTAGATGCGTGCACGATCATACTTTTTTTTTAATGAAGATTATGGCCTGGTAACAAGACCTTTAAGCCAATACCATGAAAATACTAATTACTAACACTATTAAAACATCAGTGTGAGACGTGTATGACCCTTAAGTTAACAAACAATTAAAAATTTTTTCTTTTTTTTTCAACAAATCAAAAAATTTTAAAAGAAAAAAATTGCACATGTAGAAATTTAAAAACTAAGTACAATTTTTTAAATATTTTCTTTTATAATTTATCGTTGGAAAAACTTTCAAATATTATTAGACGTCGGATAACTTCAGTATCATAAGAAGTTGATCAACTTCTTAAATTCAAATTCTTCAATTATTTAGCGTGATGCTTATGTCAGTTTACAAATTTTATTTAACGCTGCGACGTTCAATGAGTCTGAATCGTCCGACTGATTAAGATTTTACAATGTTATGCAATTACAAATTCATAAAACTACAAAAAAAAAAACACCTTAAAAATAAGTGAAATTAAAAAGTCGTCCGTAAGTATCTTATTTGTCAAGCTTCTTCGGCGTCGTTAGAAAGAGTTGCTTCAGCTATGAATCTGACAGTACCTTATAATAGAAGCCGTTTGACAGCAAAGCACATTAAACAGAGGGTGCTTCTAATGTCTATATCAGATGACTATTGGTTCGAATAAATTGTATTTGATTGAGTCGATGATAAATACATATTACGTTTTTCTTCATGTCTATTCTTTTTACGAATTTTGAATGTTTTGGAAATATAAATAATAAATTATATTTAATAAAATATATTTCCAAAAAATATGAATAATTAAAAAAAATATCGATATATCGATTTATCGATGTTTTTCACTCGATAATCATCGATATATTTTTTTGACACTAGGGATGCGAAAGTCGAAAAAAATATCGGTATATCGATATTTATAAAAAATCAATATTGGACTCGATATGTCGAAAAAAAAATCGATATATAGGTCAAAATTTAGGTTTTAAAAAAATAATGTATTTAGTTTAGTCTGATTCAATAATAAGTTATAGTAATTATTATACCATCATCATCATCATTTCAGCCTGTTTGAGTCCACTGCTGAACATAGGCCTCCCCCACAGACTGCCACGAAGTACGATCCTGAGCCACCTGCATCCATCGACTTCCCGCACATTTGCACAGGTCGTCACTCCATCTAGTTATTATACCAAAATCACATTAATTATAATTAATGAAAAATTTTAATAAAACATTATTTATTTATTAATTTTAATCAAAATTCTTTTATAAATCTAAACTTCTATGTATATTATTTATCTGGACCTTTATTGGAAAAAAACAAACAGCTCATTTAGTAAGACAAATCAGTTTCTTTAACCCTGAATCGAATCAAAAAATAAGTAATAAAAAACATGTAACTTTGTAAAAAAAACAAAGAATTATTTTCATCATCATCATCATCATTTCAGCGTGTTTGAGTCCACTGCTGAACATAGGCCTCCCCCACAGACTGCCATGAAGTACGATCCTGAGCCACCTGCATCCATCGACTTCCCGCACATTTGCACAGGTCGTCACTCCATCTAGTGGGGGGTCGTCCTACACTGCGATGGCCAGTACGAGGCTGCCACTCGAGAACCTTTCTTCCCCAACGGTTATCGGTTCTACGAGCTATATGGCCGACCCATCGCCACTTCAGCTTGCTAATCCTCTGAGCTATATCGGGTATCTTGGTTCTACTGCGGATGTCTTCGTTACGAACTCTATCACGCAGAGAAATACCGAGCATAGCCCGCTCCATAGCTCGCTGAGCGACTTTGAGCTTCCTCATCCGGCCAGCAGTGAAGGACCACGTCTCGGTTCCGTAGGTCATCACCGGCAACACACATTGATTGAAGGCTTTAGTCTTCAAACATTGAGGTATATTCGACGAGAAGATTTGCCGAAGTCCCGAAAATAATTGTTTAAAACGAAGTTAATAATGGGTTAAAAAGAAACCGGCAGAGACTTATGTGACCTAAAAGACAGACCTAGATCAACAGAATTTAGTAATAGTTGTTTGATTGACATTAAAATGCTGAACGACAATTTAAAGAAGTTACGTATGTGGTTAAATGATAATAATTTTAATGACGTCAAATATTTTTTTTTGAAAAGTCGATTTAATATTAAAGTGACATTTAATTATTGAGAATTTGATTAAATTTTTGCTAACTCTATTTACATATTAAATTAAAATAACTTTAGTTGATGCCATTAATACTTAGCATGCTATTTATAAATTAACATAATAATATGTAGTTAAATATTAATGATTTGTAACACCTCTATACCATGTTGTACCTAAGATATGAATAGTATAAAGTACAAATTTTACTATAAATACCATAATTATAGTACAAAATGTAATTCTGCATCCGCGACAATACTAGTAATAAACCACAGTTTTTATCCGTTCATTTTTATCTGTTACGGCTTTCAATCAATTTGAATTAAAATATCGTTTTTGATACGATTTCGATATTCAATTTTTTATATCGATATATTGGTTCAAAATATATCGGCAAAAAATATTGATATATTTTAAAAAAATATCGAGATATCGATATTTTTTCGTCATCCCTATCAGACAGATTTTTCTTATTTGGATTTTCTTTGGTGTTTGAGAGATGATTGATGAATGATATTATGAAAATTTATTCACTGCTTAAACAAATATAAAGTAATTTTACATTTGCGGACATCAAATTAAATCATTCTAATTTAATTATTCCTTTCTTGAAAGTTAATTAAACTTTATTTAGTATTTGATCAACAAATTATTCGATAATATGGCTGATGGAGTGCAAATACTTAGACGTAATCGACCCGGTTCAAAAGCAAAGGTGGATTTATATTTTGACTTAAATTTTCTTGATTTCTGAAGTGTATTAATATTGGAAAACACATTTTAGGATTTCTGCCGATGGCCTGATGAACCGTTCGAAGAAATGGATAGTACCTTGGCTGTACAACAATTTATTCAACAAACCATTCGACGTGACCCTGCAAATTTGGAAGCTATACTTAAAATGCCAGAGGCCCAAGATGAAGGTGTTTGGAAGTACGAACATCTAAGGTATTATAGGTTTAATTGTTTTTTATCATAGAAATTTAAATTGTTTATAGTGCTAATCTTTGCACATAATTCTACATATTTTAATGTTTTTTATCATGTTACATTCTGATGAGTGGAATTACTAAAAACTTATTCATTATCAATTTTCATGTCGTATTTTTGTTATTTTAGACAGTTTTGTATGGAATTAAATGGGCTTGCAGTAAGGTTACAGAGTGAATGTAAACCAGAAACATGTACACAGATGACTGCAACAGAACAGTGGATATTTCTTTGTGCAGCTCACAAGACTCCTAAGGAATGTCCTGCCATTGATTATACCAGGCATACTCTTGATGGTGCAGCATGTCTACTCAACAGCAATAAATATTTCCCTAGCAGGTATAAATAAAATAATCCAATATACTTAATCAAAATAGGGCATAAGATTACTATGTGATAATAATACCCAATCATATAACATCAAAACCTTACATATTCATTGCTTTTTTTTTATTTCAGAGTCAGTATTAAAGAATCATCAGTGGCAAAATTAGGTTCAGTTTGCAGAAGAGTCTATAGAATTTTCTCTCATGCATATTTTCATCATTTTTCAATATTTGATGCATTTGAAAAAGAAACTCATCTGTGCAGAAGATTTACATACTTTGTCACAAAGTATTCAATAATTTCTAAAGAAATTTTAATACTGCCCAAACTTGATGATGAAACTCCAATTGCGCAAACTGTTGGTGAATCAGAAGCTTAGATCTGTTTAAATATATTCTTTCACTTAATTTAAATATACCTACATATTTTAAATAAAATACTTATGTAAAAAGAACTCATACAAATTGATATAGAGAAATATTTGTTTGCATTTCTTTCTGTGAATTTAATGTGTTCAAGTCTGGTATAAATTTGCCCCAATACTGGCATAAAGGACAAATGGGTTAAAATAATAACTTGGTATCAGGTGATCCACTTAGTCATTTGTATGTCATTAAAATAAAAAATAAAATAGATCTTCATAGAATTGTATCTGTGTATCGCTTAACACATACTGCACATATTCTGACAAGAATAAAGCTTTTAAATCAATCTTGTTTTTGTATGGAATATGTATTTCTATTTATTAAAGTAATAATAAAATATATTACATATTGTTTTGTTTCAACAATAGAGAGAATCATATTTATGACATATTGACATGCAGTTTTACTACCATGGCATGTATCACAATCAAAAATGTGATAAATTAGGATGTAGAATTTAAATTAGCCCTGAGATTTGAAATTGAGTTTTTTTATGTAAGAATGTGGCAAATAAGCTGGCTCTTCACCTAATATTAAGTGATAACCGCCGCCGCCCAATGGACAACATCACATGGGTTGCAGGTGCGTAGCCACCTTTTAATAGAGTGGGCCCCGGCTACCTCACCTATCAGACCAAACGCAGATGTATGACACTTCCACTTTACTCTGGTTTTCTGTGGTTGCCCTTTTGTGCAATAGCGAACACTATTGCGAAGTCCTACTACAGTTATGTTATAGTTTATGGTTATATTTAACCATTCAAGATATTTCAGGTTGACAAAAGTAAAAAAAATGTATTTTATAATATGTCAACTGTATTTCACAAGATATGATTTTTTAAATTTATATAATGTTAGTCATTGTAGGACTAAAAGGAAGGTTGAAACAGAAACGTAATGTAAAGCCGCTATCTATCACCCAGTACAGAGGGAGGACAGGCATCATGAAATTTTACTTCTCTCAATTTTTGTAAAAGCCAATTCATATCCTTTTAAAATTTAGTTATTACTTTATCTATTTAAATTTATTTTTTAATTTATCTATGATTTAATTTGATCTTTTCTATGCTTGTAAGGCTTCTTTGACTTGTATGGCTGATGTTGATTTCTGCTTGTATTGCTGGTTGGGCTTTTTTGCCAAAATTTTTTGCCTTTTAAAGTTTGATACCTGAAAAACAAGCCATATTATATGGTATCAATTACAGTAATATGTAATATATAAAATGAAAAGTACCCTAATTGACTGGTATCTGGAATTTCATTTATTGATAAACATATATGAATAACTGGTATTTGTCTTTTCACAATAAGTTTTTCTAGGCCATCAATTTTTGGTTCCCAATATTCTTCAACGCTGAAATAGAAATCAAAAGTGTGAAATAAGAATTAGAATATGTATTTATGAAGAAAATTTTCTGCAGTATATACTTTTTACTAGTGAGCTTCGTTACTTGATGTTCAATAGAAAATTGTCTTTTAAGAATTTCTGCACAAGATATTGCCTTAGGGATAGCTACTCCGACAGCTGACCATACTACAGCTGTTGATGCTTTATCTTCTATAATGCCTGATGCATGGGAAAGCAGATTACTCATTTTGCTACCACCTTTTACCTAAAATGACATTAGATAAATTTTGTTATATATTTTATCATCATCAGACAGGATGAATTGTTTAATAACATTTTGAAAGAATCATAATTATATATAATAATAATTATTCACAAATAATGAATGTCAATAAATAATCATTATAGTTATACACGCAGGCTCAATTTTCCATTGACATCCGTCGGTTGTGGGTTGATATTTTTAACAGAAAGATTACATTATTATAAGCACACAAGCATAGTTTCAACTTGCGGAGACGCGTAGTTTTTGAGAAAAAAAAAATATTCAAAACATTGAAATTTTTTTTGCCATATTTGAACAATGAACTGTTATTCCTCTATTGAACTTTACCTTACACCACATCGCATAATACTACATTTAGGCAAATTAAGTTTACGTAATATTGAACACAAAAATAACAACATAACACACTGTAACGCTGAGAAACACTTTTTTTGTATTCTTTATTTTACATTCCATGTCTGTCTGTAAAAAACAGTCTACCGTGGGAAAGTAGCCTTCAAATAAAATAGCTTACGTTCAACTTATGTCAAAGAACCAAATTGATTGATCCCAACTCTACCTGCTAAGTCAGTAACCTTATTTTTTTCTTATGAGAGGGTAACCCCCTTCCCTTCAGAAACTAAAAATAAACAAAAAACTCGAAAAAGAATCTTTTTTAAGGGGTAGTACCTTTCTGCTCCCAACCGCCGGAGCCTTCCCGCCCCACAATTCGATCTTGTATCTTGTATTAACTGATGTTTTTGCTTTCAGTCCCGAGACTATTAAAGCTTCATCTGACGCAGAACCGATGGGCTAGCCAGAACCCACAGGTTTGGGCCCTCCGCTGTGGGTAGGGCCACGCATGTGCTCATGCGTGCGTTTAACTATGGTGTGACATCTAAGGGCCATCGAGGTCGTGGTTCGGACCGAAACCCCGATGGCCGTCGACTGTGCAATTAGCTAATCGGTGCTGGCTGGGGGCGGTGAGAACCGCCCCGGAACGCGGGTGTACCTTGTGTACGCGTTGTGTGGGTCTCGCCGTGCTCGGAGGCGAGGGCGAACTAGTGTGTTTGTTGTTGCACTAACTGTGGGTGTAGTGTTGTCCGGCGGGACCCCCGGCGGTGGGTCCGGCGTGTCCAAGTCCCCCTCCTCGACCGGGTCGATTAGGACGTTTCACGGGCGACGCTTGTTGACGTTCGCGTTTTTGTCGGGTTGATAATTTGCTGCGCTTACCACCAGAGGGTTGGGATGATGTTCGGCTCTATCGAAGAACCGTTTGGTCAGGTCTTTAAAATATTCGCGAATCGTCGGAAGTCTGCAATCGCTGTGCAGGTCGACGTTGCGTTGATACCGCTGCGCACCGGTTGCGCGGCGGATGAACTTATTTTGTACTATTTGCAACTTGTACAAGCGAGTAGGGTGCGTGTGGGCGAAGGTCATGCATGCGTAAGACATAATAGGTCGTACGCAGGTCTTATATAATAATAATTTGTGCCTTAAGGGCATTTTACTTTTAGCGTTAGTTAAGTTGTGTAGCCGGCCGGAGACGAACGCGGCTCTATTGCGAACGTTATTAATGTGCGTAGTATATGACATACGCGAGTAGAAAGTGACTCCTAAGTATTTGACCTTTTTCTCCCAGAAGAGCGGTTGGCCATAAAGGGATATTTGCCCCAACTTTCTGCATTGGCGAGGACCATTATAAAGATGTGACGGGTAAGTACTTCGTGTGAAGTGAGTCGCTACACTTTTTTCGGGATTTATTTCTATTCTCCATTTGCGGAACCAGTCGCCGAGGCGGTCGGCGGCGCTTTGGAGTCGAGTGGTTAGTAGTCTAAGGTTGCGGTCTGAATAAAAGAGCGCCGTGTCATCCGCGAAAAGCGCGAGATTGACGTGGGGGTCTTTAGGTATATCGCTCGTGTAGAGCGTAAAAAGCAAGGGTGAGAGGCAGGGGCCTTGTGGTACGCCGGCCGTGAGGCGGCGGCTTGTGGAGAGGGTGCCTTCAACTCGATATCGAAAAGAGCGGTTTGACAGGAAGGCCCGGATGGTGTGTACGAGCCTATCTGGCACTTTGAGTGTGTACAGCTTGTAAAGCAAGCCGTTGTGCCAGACCTTGTCGAATGCTTTTGCGACATCGAAGAAAAGAGCCCCTGTACTAATATGTTTAGGGTGATTTAGGCCTTTAAGGATATGTTCCGTTAGGCGGAATAGTTGATCGGGACAGGAATGTCTAGCTCGAAAGCCGAATTGTTCCGCCGGCAGAAGGCCGTTGGAAAACACGTGCTCATTGAGCCTGTTTAATAAAAGCCGCTCGTAGAGCTTCCCCAGGCAACTGAGGAGGCTGATGGGACGATAACTAGAGGGCTGGTTGGCTGGTTTATTAGGCTTGCGGATGCCGATAACCCTGGCTTTTTTCCAGTCGTCCGCAAAGGAGCAACTGGAGAGTAAAGTATTGTAAATGGTCGCCAGTAAACAGATAAGCGGCCCAGGGAGAGCTTTAAGAATTTTGTTACTAATATTATCTGGGCCCGGGGCGGATTTGGGTTTTAAGTTTTTCATAATATCTTGAAACTCTTCGGGGGTCACTGAATTCAAAGGATCGCCTTCCGGTGGAAGCGCAGCCCTAATCTCGATTACGCGGTCCACCTCCGTTAGGTGGGCTGTATCGATGTGTTCGCGCGATGGCGTACATTGCTGCTCTAGGTTGTCCGCAAGGCATTCGGCTTTTTCGGAGTCATCTAGGGCTACTGAAGCGCTATTAGGTCTAACTAACGGCGGTAGAGATTCACGGGGGTCTGCTTTCAGACTGCGGACCAACCGCCAGTAGGCGGTGTGCGATGGCTCGATGTCCTCTAGGAGAGTGTCCCACGTTGTATGTCGGTGTTCCGATACTCGATCTTTGACTTCTAGCTGAAGGCGTCGAAGTAGGGTTCGGTTCGATTCCGATCGGTATCGGTCGAAAGCGCGTTTGGCTGCATTTTTCTGCCTAAATAGGAGTCGCAGGTCGGGCGGAAAGTTAAACCGTCGATCGCCCGACAGTTTAACTGTCCGTTCCGAGTCTGCGACTGTGGAAGTGATGGTTTCTCGGAGACTTGCTATCGCTCGATTTGCGTCATCGAACGTAGCTATCGTCTCGGGTAGGTCGACTAAGTCCTGGGGGTCCAAGGCCTTGAGTTTGACCTCAAGACGATGCCAGTCCACTACGGATTTGGTCGGAGGGACCGCGCCGGCGTTCTGGCCCAGTTTACACAGGACGGGCCTGTGATCTGAGTCTAGTTCATGGATTGTTTCTATCGACTCGATGTCGAGCGAGACCTCCTTGAGTAACATGATATCTAGGATACTCGGAGTCGCGTGTTGGTAGTTGTCCACCGTAGGATACCTAGTGGGAGTCGCAGGAGCAATTATGCTAAAGTTTAAATTATCGGATAAGTTAAAGAGATGCTTTCCGTTGCCATTTGGGATGCTGTGGATGTCCCATGAGCCGTGTTTGCAGTTTAGATCTCCTGCAATTATCACGGCAGGGCCCAAGTTGAGTAGCGTATCTAGGTCGCTTTGTAATAAGGTTTTGTTCCCCGAGAGGTAGGCTGAGACTAGTACAAGCGGCCTATGGCCGGTGAGCGCTAACCTACACGCGGATGCCTCTATATGGCTTAGCTCTGGAATGTCGAGCGGGCTACAGTGCAAGACGATTTGCTAACCGGTCGTGGCGGACTATGTTGTAGTTTGCGATTCTGGGATCGCGTACACTAGGTTTTAAGAATGTCTCTTGCACTAGAAAAATATCTACGTTATAATCGCGAAGGAATTCCGCGATTTCGTCCCTTTGACCCTTTATGCCGTTTGCGTTGAAATACGAAACAAACAGAGCCCGAGGTTTTGTTCTACCTGCGGTTGTACTTCCCATTAAAGTTTTTTATGAGTTCTAACTAACGATGCGGCGGAGCGCGGTTTTATTGCGCGGACCATTAAGTTTATGGTTGGCTTGTAAATGCCCAGAGGGCTTCTACAAGCATTTTATGTTCGCTAATGGCTTTAAATCGCGCGTTGCCAGATGTGGCGGCCGCTATTTTAGCGGACAATACGGCGAGTTCTTGTCTATTAATGCGGTCTAATAAGGCGCAGATGTTGGCAATTTGGGCGAACGGGTCGTCCTTGTTTTCGGCGAAAACCGACGGTGTCGACTGCACCTGCGGAGTCGGCGCCGTTTGATAGGCGGGCTGCGATAGAGTGATTGGTCGTGAGGCGACCGGGGGCGCAACTACCTGCGCGGCCACCTGCGGTTTCGCCCAGGCGTTTACGACGGGTACGGGCGCGGGACGTATTTCACGGGCGCGGGTTTGGGCAAAGTAGATTTCGCGGGAGCTTTTCTCGCGGGAGTTTTTGGGGCCTTAGCGCAGCCCCTGTAGCTAGCCGGGTGGCCGGTGGTATGACAATTAACGCAGTCCGGTGGATCTGCGCAATCTTTTGGCCGCGTACAATCGGGCGTGCCGTGGTCACCGGTGCATTTGACGCACCTAGGGTAAGCGAAACAATTATTAGTGTGGCCATAGTGTTGGCAGTTGTGGCACTGCGCCACAACTCCCGATCTTCGCGGGGGCTCGATCACGAGGTCGCTGAGCCCACAGACCCTCTTCAGGTTGAAGATGGCCTTACCTTCCGGGGTAGGGTCAAGTTCAACCATCACCATGTCCATAGGGACACGGGTTCTGGGGTGTCTGAGGCGTCGGACGGCATGCACAGGGTATCCCTGAGTGCGGATGTCGGTTTTCGCCTTGTCGACATCCGACTCTTTGAGGACGCCCTTGATAACTACCCGAAGCTTGCGTTCTTCGGGCAAAGAGTAGGTGTGAAAACCTATCTTATTTTCGCGCAAGTATTTCGTTACGCGGCGGAAATCGTCAAATTTGTGTATTTTTCGACCGGGGGTCGCGGATATTGTGGCGTTCAAACCACGAAGAAATTTGGTGCCACTTAGCCTTCTCCTGAATGATGATGGGAGGAGGAGGCTTTATTATTCGCTCGGAGGCGAATTCGGGCATCGGTTTAGCCGCCGCAGCCGCCTTTTTGGCGGGCGTCGCGGTGGGTTGGTTAGTTGAAGCGGCCTCGCATTCGGGGTCGCTGTCGGCAGCGGGGCGTTTTTTGCCCTTCTTACGCGACTTTACGACGGTGAAGCCGTCGACGTTCGCGTTTTCAGCGGGGGTCGTTTCGACCTCCATGTCCGATGCACCGTCCGATTGTGAGTCGGGAACGACGGCGCGGAAGGGGGCCGAGATGGGATGCGCGGAAGGCGCGATGGGTACGATCGCGGCGGCGGAGGTCGACGCGACGGGCTTTTCTTGTGTCGCTGAAGGCAACGCATTAACGGGCGCTGAGAGCGCCGGAGATGACGGCGAGGTGACTGCCGGTGAAGCCGGGCTGTCGCTGGCGAACTCGACGACTAAACATTTTTCTTTCGCGAACGCGAGAAAGTTTGTCCACACTTCGGGACATCGTTGGCGAAGGAATTCCTCTAGGAGGGAACCCATTTCGAGCGCTTGAGCCTTTGGGGCTTGCGCCCCGCCGGCGTGTAAGTTACTAAATAGGCCTCCCCACCTTGCGGCAGGGAGGTGTGTGCCTAAAACTGACAACTAATCCGCCTGCGCTTTAGTTGCGCTAGTGTGGGTACCTAGCTGTCGCCTATCGCAACAAGCACACAGTTATTAAATAAAAACAATGCCGCCTCTGAGGCGAGAAGTGTGTATAGAATTCTACTTACAGAACAGGAACCTGCCTACGAGCACAACACTAACACTAAACTACTGCACTGCTTGCACAAAGATTTAAATTGCAACCGAAGTTGCGAGTAGCGTCTAATTCGGGTGGCATTAGCCCTCCGTCTTAGAGAGAGTTCCGTTCCGTACGAGAGCACGAAGCGGAATGGCACAATTCGACTAACAAACAGTGTAGTTTTTAGATCTCATTTCTGGCCAAAAAATATAATGAGACCAATTTTATCCTCAAAACTGATTCAAAAGACTATTTAGGTGCAAAAGTACCTTTTATTTGACAAAAAAATAAAACATTCTTGGAGATGATAGGTCTGAATTTTATCACAAAATCTTTTGACACCAACCTTCGTTATCAATCTTATGAAGGGCTAATTAACTTAAAAATATTAATGTGTAACTATCCAAATTATCCAAAATTATTTTTTCTTTCTCGCACCTCCTTGCAACTCATGCAGACAGACATCCTTGAGACGAGTCAAGTAGTTCTTGAAAATGAACTTCTGTGTTTCTGTAACATGTATGGTGTCTTTCATAGGGTAGCACTCTTGCTTGGTCTTAAGCAAAGAATAACAGGGATAAATATTTTTGATGGCAGATTGTATCACTTCATACACTTTTCTTTTAGGATCTGTCTCTACAAAATGACACAAAGCTTCAAATGGAGTATGCTGTTTGATGTTTGACGGTTACTTAATACTTCAAGTCTCGAGAGTCTGTCTGATTTTAGTGTTGATTAGTAATGTTATGTAGTAGATATAGACTTTCATAGATGTAGTAATTCTACTACATTATTTAAGTTTTTGGACAGCGACCAATTTCAAAGACTTTTCTTCCATGAAGAAAATATTCTTATCCAAATTCTTCATGGGACATGTTTAATAAAACCATAAAGATCTTTATTGCAGAAAGTATTCATGTTCACTGATAACTATGAAAAAGAAAGAAGGAAATTAACACCTATTTAACATACCCAAAATTCAATATTATTTTATGTACTCTATTTCCTAGTTTGAAAAAAGGGTGCAAATATGCGCTAGATTTTTTTTCATAAACTTTTTATATAATTCTCAAACATTGCCTTTTTACAATAAATTTTACCCGACAAAGCCTTACACTTAAACCAAAATCTTTGTTTGATAATATATAAAAAAAAAATAAGAAATAAAATACCTTTTTTACAGCAAATATGAATAAAAAAAATTTACTATTTTAAAAGAGAAAATTAAATAGTAATAAATGAATCACATACCTTCTTTTACAATTTCCATTATAAATCTGTACTATATTACACTAACAAACACAATGAACGTAAATTAAATAACACAGTAAATTAAGAGCGACAAAAACAATAATGTGCACATGTAAGAGCAGGTAGACTGCAACTGGCAACAGGAGTGGGCTGAGACTAAGGTAACTCAAGTGGGCTATTAAATAGGCCCTATTTGTGTAGTTATACACAGTAACATAAATAAATTGTAAGTAATAATAACAATCAACTCCATAATGGGACGTCAATGGAAAGTCGTACCATGTACTTAATGATAGACTACTTCTTTTAATAATAGTTATGTTTAATAATAATCAGATACGAAATTATTGCTAATGCATAATGCATTACACCTGTTTTTGACATCTATTCATTAAATTAAGAAAAATAATATACCTGCATCCAAAGAAAATTTGTCGGGAGGTCTTTAATTGGTATTTTGTGGCGGTCCAATTCTTCCTCAACATTTTTTCCTTTATAGTAGTTTTCCATTTATTGTAATAATTTCTTCTTCTTCTTTGACTAATGGCCTCTCTTAAAAGAATTCTGCCAATGTCATGTCAGTTCACGGTCTTTTCAGTCCATACTAGGGATGAGGCGTATATACTGGAACAGGTATAAATACCCAGTATGAACATGCCAGTACGCACACCGGGTATGTACGGCAGAGGCCCGTTCCATACCCGATAGGTATGGCTATGGCCGCTTCGTCCGACGGTGGCGGTATATACGCTCGCGACAACCCACCGGCCGAATAGGTACGAAGTTCCCCGAACGCTTACGGCGGCTCTTTCCGATCATGCCCGAATTGAAACGTATGATTTAGGCATTTTATACCAAATATTTCCTTGAGATAAATTTATTCTTTATTTCTATGACAATTAGGTAGATAAATAATTGCGTAATAAAATTAAACAGTAATATTTATTTTGAATTACTTTTTTTTTATAATAGGGTTCTTTACGTTGGTAAAGATGGAGCTTAATTTAGACTGATTAAATCTCAATTAAAAAAATATGATTGCTAAAAAAACATCTAAATGTTCCAATTCCAACCAAATAAAGGTTCAATTCCATACCGGGTCTCCATTAGGAGGCCTGAACATAACTAATACCTATAGGTATTTTTATACTGGGTTTTAGCACCGGGTATACGGCGATACCCGTACCTTTGAGGCCGGGTATAGAATGTTGCAGGTATATCTCATGCCTAGTCCATACATTTGATTTTTGTATGGAGCTTGCTCATTCCGTTTAGTTCTTTCAGGCGAAAACAGATGGCGTTGTTTTAAATGAAAAACCGTTTTAACTATGGTACCATTAAATTAAAAAAATATTTTAAGTTAAAATAAATTTATAAAGAAAAATTAATGTATGGTTCTTATTGTGGAGAAAATCGAATTTTATTAAATAAAATTTTTAAGTAAAATGCTGGATGTTATTTTAAACACCGTTTAAAAATAAATTAAAAAAAAACATTTTAAGTTCGTAACGTTATTAACGTAACGTTACGAACTTAAAATGCTGAAAATACTTAAAATAATATTAAGTTAAGATAAATTTTATAAAAAAAAGTACTTAAAATTTATGAATTGTATTTATTTATTTTCTATAATGATATCAATACAGAGCATTTATATTTAATTAATGTTAGTTCTTTAGGGTCGAATCGTGAAAAAGATAATTGTAAAAATTTCAAACTATGGAATTGTTATTACAAAATACTACAGAAATTAATGAAATCATAGAAATAAATTTTGATGATATGCAATGTGAAATTGTCAATTTTGAAGAAAAAAAGCGTAATGTTAGAATTTACAGTCAACTCAATTATGTTGCCGGTTACTTATTGAAACAAGAAAAAGTAAAAGCTTTTAAAAATTGCATTAACTGTAAAGAAATTTTATTTAATAGAGATAGGGACGAATATATAAAATTAAGGGATTTTTCGTCACGTAGGGCACTCGCTTATCCTTCTGAAGATATCGTGCGGATGTTTTCCGCGATACAAGATGTGGCTATCTTTATTTTAGATAATAAGAGCGATATGCCACAAATAAAAATCTATATGAAAATAATTATGTACATTGTCATCGATTTTAAATTTTTGACTTGCCCACACCACAATAAAGATTTAATAGAGTTTTTCATTGAAGTTTCTTCCAGATTTTATATTTTCAACTGGTGCCGTGACGTAAATAATTTAATAAACGGCACCAGACTTGATATCAATTGATAACAAAGACTTCATGAAAAAAGTAGCCAGTGAATATTATAAAAAACGCAATAAAGTTCGCAAAACATATTTCTGTGTTTTATTTACTTTATCCAAAAATAACATCCAGCAAGCTTGTACCCAATTACAGTTTTCTATACAAAGTTATCAAATATTAATTAAATAAATTTTATATACATGACATAGAAAACTGTAGTTGAATACAGCTATAAACTATAAAAACAAAATGTTTAATTAGTCTAAGTTATATACATCTGAACTTTTAGTTCATTCCCGCGTCAAAAGATGGCGCTGTCTCACGAGGAGACTGATGACTCTATATTATTAATGTACTCTTTGTGTCAGTTGTCATAATTTTATGATACGTTATGACGTTCAAAATTAATTATAATTAAGGCATGGGCAAAAAATATCGATATATAAAAATTCAATTAAAAAATTAAACCATCAGTGTGAAACGTATATGACCTTGAATTTAACAAACAATTAACAATGTTTTGAGAATCAGACAGACCAACAGATTTTTTTTTCAATCAAAAAAGGTTACAAAAAAAAAAGAAAAAAATTACAAGGAATTATAAACACTAAGTACAATTTTTTCCAAATTTTTTTTTATAATTTTTCTTTGTAAAAAGTTTCAAATATTATTAAACGTGGGCTAACTTTAGTATCATGAGAAGTTGATCAACTAGCTAAATTCTTCATCTATTTAGCGTTACTTATGTTAGTTTGCATGATGATTTGATTTTATTTAACGCTGCGACGTTCAATTAGTCCAAATCGTTGGTTAATATTTTACAATTTTATATAAATTAATTAATTAACAAAAAAACACCTTAAATTTTTGGAAATACAAATTTCGATAGTTTTTAAAAATGTCGATACGATAAATATTTTTTTACTTGCCTATCCCTATTATAATTATTGACAATGACATTAGTGTTGCATATCGATAGTCTGCTATCGATAGACAATCGGTTATCTATCGATAGTTAAGGTAAAAGCAATAGTATCGGTCGGTAGTCTATCGATAGTATTGTCACGTGTCAATACTATCGATACTACCGATAGTATCCATGGCACTCCAAGTGCCAAAACAAACAAAAGTAACCAATATACAATATAAATTTACCCATTTTAACCGACTTCAAAAAGAAGGAGGTTATGAATTCGGATGTTTATTTTATTTATGTATGTTCGAGCATGACTTCGTCATATCGACGCAAGAAAACGTATTTGCTGTAAGTAGCAGTAAAGGCGTAAGTAGACTGAGAGCAAGCCCTTGACAAGCTTTTTTGTCTGCGTCGAAAGGTCTGGGTCTCGTATTCCTACGATGAAAAAAATCCAAAAAGTGGTATATTTAAAAAAAAAACATGTTTAAATTGTTGTAAGTCTCCTGATAAACGGTGTTTTTGATTTTATTCTACTTACAGCAAAAATACGGTTTCTATTTAATTCACCTGATATTACTTACAGCGTTCTTATGGAATAAAAATTCGAGTACCATGATTAATTACGACATTCTTATGGGTAGGAAATTGTATTCAAAATTACTTACAGCGTTCTTTTGGTTTGTAATTCGACTACATGAGATTACTTACAGCATTCTTTGAGTAGGAAATTGTATACACAAAATTACTTACAGCGTTCTTTCGGTTTGTAAATTTACACGCTGTCGGGTTACAGCACTGACTTTTGTTTTTAGATTTTCTATTGTTTTGCATTTCGATATGTCCTAGATGGTACCATACTACACGGAACAATAATACCGTATACCCAACAATTTAATAGTTAGGATTCAACATGTCGCAAATTCAACTTTTTGCGAATTCAACATTTTGGGAAACAACATTTTGGTTTAAGAATAATAATTTCATAAGAATCAAACATTTTGCAAATTCAACATTGTGGTCCAGAAGGATTATTAACATACAGCATTTTATTTGTACTTCAAATCCAGTAATTTCAATTAACAACAGAATTTTGGTTCAGGTTTGTTTGGTATGTTTTCTTAGCTAGACTTAAATATTTTTAATGATACACAATTCATAAAAAAATTTAGTTACAGCATTGTAGATCTCGGAAAATATATAGCGATGAGCTATCCCCGTAGAAGTCAGAGAATGCTGTAAGTAGCGAAAAACACACTTCTCGTAACTTTAGGAGAAATTTATTTTAATTGCATTGTTAGCCGCAATTTAACGCAACTACGTTCAAAAAATCATTTTTCTGTCACAGAAGGAAGTTATTCATTTTTTAAAATTTTAAAAAAGTTTTGGTTCTAGTGAAAAATTACTATTAAACTACTTACAGCAAATACGTTTTCTTGCGTCGATATATAGACGGATTTGCAAAAAACCCTTTTTTGTTCGAAAGGGTTTCATTCCGAAATAGTCCCATATAAATTTCATATAGGTCTGATGATGATTTTCGGAAATTAAGGAGATTAAGGAGACCCATATAAATAAATATTTAAATGGTGATTCCCACCACCACCCTTCACAGTTAGCTATTGTTAGTAAATGTTTGTTACAGAGAGCACGAGGGATCTGTGACAAGGAACACATGGCTGCTGAGCTACACAATGTTTCTTCTTCTTTTCTTTTTTGGCGGTTTTCTATGAATACGCCAATGAACAGTTCTAGTTGTTTATTTTTGCCTAACTTTTATTGTCGTTTGACTCGGTGCTTCAACATCATAAATCGAAACAAGTTCGTTGAGACATTAATGTGCCATAATTAACAAATTATGGCACAGCAATGTTCACGCGTGAGCTTAATTTCTGTTAACGACGTGTCAACTTTTCTTCTTCTTTTCTTTTTTGGCGGTTTTCAATGAATACGCCAATGAACACTTCTGGTTGTTTATTTTTGCCTAACTTTTATAATGAAATGATGAAGATAATGATTTTATGACTGTTAAATATGTATATTTTTATATATAGAGTATTTAAACAAATTTTCAAAGTTATAGCAATTACCTAGAACAAATAAAATAAGATTGTAATTATTATGCTAAGTTCACAACTTAATATTACAACTATTAATAAAATTACATAAGATATAAACAAATCAAGAATTTACATATGTTAAAGGGTTATTGATGTTAGATGGACGAGGGATGTTAGAAGGAAGATGATCATGGAAGGAACCTGGAATTCTGGGACAGTTGAAAAATATATGATCAGGTGAATCATCATTTAGGCCACATTCACAGATGGAACTATCTTTTATTCTTAATTTGGCAAGATGAACATT